AAAAACTATTTGCGGAAACGAGACAGAATTCACTGCCCGGAAAGATATTGGCCTGAAAGAAGAAACACCCGAATATGGGATGAACCGGAGGCCCGACAAGCCCACACGACGGCCCTATAAGAGAAAAGTTTCGGTCGAGATAACTCGTGAACGGAAAAACGGAAGAAAAAACCGGTAGCACCGTAAGAAAAGACGTAAAAAGCCCTGTCGAATGATATATAACAAGTCCACTTACCGGCGGAAGCGGGCCGGAAAAAGTTGATCCAAGTCCGGAAATTTCCGGGAGCTGTAACTCCGGAATGGTTGGACAAAAATTGACGAACGATATACAAAACGAAAGCTTGCGAATTACGGAGACCCACAATGTAACACAATCGTTGGATTGATCAATGACTACGCCGATGCGACGATCCAAAACAGGAGCTGAAGACAGTTCAACACCCAACTAACCCGTAAAAATTCTCCCTCCCCTAGAATATAGGCCTACAACTCGACGCCACGACGATTCCGTTTGCGGATGCGATCGGATTGAGCGATCTGACTAACTTTAACTATTTAGAGGAACCATTAACGGTCCCCTCAATGACTAAACGCCCCTAAGGCAAAAGACCCCTAGCCGCGGCAACGGAAGTCGTTGCGAGAGTAATCCTTCGCGGAGAAAAATCGCAGGATCCTCTCCGCGAAGGATTACTCTCACAACGATAATTACTCGCGAAATCCTTTACGAGAGGAACCGCAGGATCAGACACTTTGTTATTTGGTCACTTGTTAGGACATCGGCGAGTGCGAGAAGCAAGAAGAAGAACGAACGTATACCCCAGAATAGATTTGAACCTTGGGGTACGGTCTCAAAACTTTGAACTTGTACCTGGCTAAGATTCCCGTTAGCCGTAACAAATTGGAGCCACCAGTGAAAAAAAAAGTTCATCACATCTGAATAAAAAGAAAAGAACAAAAAAGGGAACGACGGCAAGGTTCAACTTGAAAGGAAGAGAAAAAGGTAAGTTCATCGTTCCTTTGTCTCATACATAAAGTCCAGCGATAATTGGGTATTGCGACCAGGGATTATTATATACAGTATATTATAAAATAAGTTATATTTTGGGTAACTCAATATTAAATTGCTACAGGAATTATTGTATCTAACCAAAATGCCGAAAAAGTTGGCTGTGAAAGACAAAATTGATATTTTAGAGGATAGAATTGCTTTTAGAGATAATGAAATTATGTAACTAAAATCAATTATTTGTGAATTACAAAAGAAAATCAAAAATCTTGAGAAAAAAGTAAGAAATAGACTCAGGAACATCGAAAACTTAGGAATGGAACGAGAACCTTTCCCTACTGTTCTAGAGGATGATAGAAAGTCGGACGTTTCGTAGGTTTCTCCTATTAACCTGATGATTAACTTAATAAACCAAATTAGGGAGGAATTCGAAACTAGATTTAATAAACTTGAAAATACGTTTGCAAATGCGAAATGTGCTGACTCACATCCTTCGATCAGTCCTACACTTCCAAAAAGTCCTACTATTCCACAAAAGTTAATATCTTGACCCGTTTTTGATCCACAAAATATAAATATTTGGCTGAAAAAGCTGCAAGGAATAAAGGAATCTTTCGAATTAGACGATACAACATTTATTTCCACACTAAAGCTACAATCAGATATAGATTTGGTAAAAAGAATTAGGCTAGAAAAATCAAAAGGGTATGAATTAACCTGGACTAGATTGAAAGCACAAACTAAGATACGGTATGAAACAGATTCCACTGTAAAGAAGACAATTAAAATGTATGATAGAATTCAAAAGAAATTAGAATCGCCATTTTCTTATGTTTTAGATAAAGTAGAATTAATTAATTCTTTAAATCATGAATATTTGGAGATAAAAAAAATCGAACTATTAAACAATGGTCTTGCAAAACGAAGAAAAAACGTCTATTGCAAATAAAACATTCCATACCTTAGATCAGCGTTTCTCAAAGTGGACGATAACGCCCCCTTGTGGGCACTGGAGGCTTTCAGGGGGGCAGTAGAAGACTCAAAGAGAATTAGGGGGCGTTAAGGAAATATAGAGGGGCGACGGCAGACAAATTCTATATATAAAAATTCGACGGAATATATATAAAATGTTGAAATTTTATATATTTTTTATTTTTTATTGAAGGTCACAACTTGAATATTTCTAACACATTGACTTTTATTTTAGCTCAGCGTTTCTCAAAGTAAGCAATAACGCCCCCTTCTGGCGCGATGAATAGATCTATGATAGAGGCAGGATATTGAACGGTGACCAAAGGCAAAATTGGGGCTGATAAGAGGAAACATTGCGTTTAATGGTTTCCAGATGATGAGAACAATGTACAGTAAGGGCACAAAGTGTGA